TCCAGGGGGGAGGCAAAGCAGGGGTAGTGGTGGCCGAGTCCTGGCTGGAGCCAGTCTCTGGCGACTGCGTCACGCCATCGCTGGCAGCCTTGCAGCACTGGATGCCCTCTTCATGCCCGACAGCCTGCTTGGACATTGACTGTGACAGCACCCCGCTGCAGCCCTGGATCTGAGCCCCATTCGTCTGTGAGTACACGTTGCTGACCTTGGTGGCCTTCTGCTGCCCGTTGTTGTTACACACCTTGTAGCGGATCATGAGGATGATGATGAACACGAGCACGGAGGCCACAATGATCCCACCAATGATGATAATCATGGTCCCACCCAGAAACTGGGACTGCATGAAGTGGCAGCGCACATAATCCTGCTCAGTCGTGAACTGTGTGCAGCCCACCACCCTGGTGGCGGTGAGCGAGGTGATCCCGTCGTCATAGATCGCCAGGACGCACAGGTCATACACAGTCCCAGCGGCCAGGTTGTTGACCAGGAAGGTTTTGCTTGTGGGAGGTATCATTCTGGGGGAGAAGGAAACCAGCGTGAATGAACCCAGAAAGCCCGCAGGCACCTCCCCGCTGTGTGCTGCACTCCCTGGCAGCAATAAGCACCACCAAGCCCCCCGCCAAGAGAGTGACCACGTCAAAAGCATAAAAGAAATTCCCAAGCAAAGACAGTTTTGAGCAGTGTGACTGTGACACCCAGCAGCACAGAGCCCCTCTGCACTCAGCTAACACACCAGCATGGACACCATCAGAAAATGCTACAAGGAACTCATTTACAGACACCTTTCTCCCCATGTTTTCATAAAGCTGAGAGCGTTACGATCCATTTAACTCATCTAAACTTCACAACCTTTCCACCAATCAGATTAGTTCAGAGGATTAGAGATCCATTTGCATTATCTAAAAATAAAACTGTTCAAGGTAATTTCCCTATTTGCGAGTAGAAAACGGGATGAGTCTTTCCCGCAGCTCCCACCATCTGCTCCACGGGCAGGGCTCTGCGTGGGAACCTGCTGCTCCAGTGGAGGGGCTGCCTGGAGCCAGGGGCAGCATGTCAGCGCTGAGCAGCCTGGTAGGGCCCACCGCAGGATGGCTGGGGCCGCCTTACCTGTAAACAAGGGAGTCATCATAAGTACCATTGTACTGGATTTGGAACATACGTATCCCAGGTATATTCCTCTGAAAATTGAATTTCAGCAGAGCAGTAGAAGATGTTGCTTCCGCAACAACCACCTTCTTATCTTGGCTGACTTTAGTATCCCCATTGCTACTGCTCGCGTTGGAGCCCGACTTGGTGGAAGTAGAGATATCCGAGGAGCCAGGGTCAGGCTCGTGGATGTGGTTCGTGCTGTTCAGCAAGTGGGGGAGTTTGATTATGTGCAGGTCCACTGTCTGCGTGGCCTCCCCAGCTGGATTGGAAGCAATGCAGGTGAAGGAGCCTGTATCCTTCACCGTCGTTATCAGGATGTCGAGTGTCCCGTTGTCATACACCACGGACCTCGTTGCATTTGAAATCAGTTTGCCCTCAGGTGAAATCCAATGAATTGCTGGTTCGGGGTCCCCCCGGGCCTTACACCGCAGTGCTGCCCGCTGGCCCTCCAGCACCCGCAGCTCATGGGTGTGCCGGGTGATGAGAGGAGGCTCACACAGGAACTCCTCCTCAGGGATCGACCAGAAGTACCGGCCAGACAAGAGCGTGGGAGAAGCACAAGTCTCCAGGTCGTCCTCCCTCGAAAGACGCCTCAGCCACAAAAGCTCGCAGTTGCAATGCAAAGGGTTCCCACCAAAGCTCAATGCAAAAGTCGAGGGGCTGATTATTCCTGAGGTTGCTAGTACCTGAGCTCGCTGGAAGAGAGGATCAGGTGGTAGCTTCTGCAGTTTGTTAGACGTGACGTCCAACCTGGTCATCTTGTGGAGGTGGGAGAAGGTCCCCTTGGGAATATGGTCAATCATGTTATGGTCTAGACTGAGAGTGTGCAAACTAACCATCTTCTCCACGGCATCCCAGGGGATGGTTTCCAGGTTGTTGTAAGACAAATCCAATTCCTCAAGAGCTAAAACATCATCGAAAGCTGTAGAAGAAATTAAAGTCAGCTGGTTGTTATTAAGTATCAAGTGGTGAAGATTGGAGAGTCCACTGAACATGTCATTTGTGATCTTAGTCAATCGGTTGCTGTTCAAATGCAAAGCCCGCAAATTGCGCAAGTCAGCAAATGCGTGAGGTGTAATAAAACTGATTGTATTCCTGGACAGCGTTAGGTCCACCAGGCTGGTCATATTGGCAAAGTCTTTCCTTTTAATGTTTGTAACAAAGTTGTCTGCCAGCCGTAACTCCACGGTCCTCCTGTCAATGTTGGGAGGAACAAATAAGAGCCCTTTCTTGGCACAAAGGGTGGCAAGGTTCGGAGACAAAATCTGACAGACACAGCGCTTTGGGCAGATCTGAGCTCTCACCGCTATGCCAATGAACAGCAGAAACAAAAGCAGTTTTTCCATTGTAGATCAGGTTCAAGAGCCTGTAAGGGAAAGCGAACGTCTGTTAGTCTCTGCAAGATGTGCAAACGACATAATAAAAAAGCAAAGACAAACTGTCTGTAGTTAAATCATGAAGCTGAGGTTCATGTAATGGTGCATCATCCTCATCTTGTTACCCGATGTCTTTATCATTCTCCATATCCTGACACAAGAGCTGCTATACTACCTTCCAGAAGAACACTGAGAGACAGGTATCTTTGCATACACACGTATATACCCACGGACACCCAGACACCTTATATACAAATGGTGTCAGCAGTGCCCTTTGGGGCCCTGCTGCTAGAGCTCAATCCTCCTGTGCAACGTGCCTCCATGCCAGGCACTCCACTTTCTGACAGAGGCTTCCGACTTCACTGCCTAGAGTTACTTTGCCATAATGCCATTTACGTATTGAAACTGAGAGGTTTTTCATGTGCACTTCAGTTGCTAGGCTAAAACTCTCAGTGGCCTCTAAATCATGACAACTCAATGGGTTTATAGCCATCTTCACCAAACACTCAAGCTCTTAATGCTATTTTCAGAATAAACTTGGAAGGAGCTGATTTTGTGTCATTCAAGACCCAAAAATGCAAATAAAACAATAAAAAAACCCCACACACAAAAAAACCAGAAAAAAACCCCACCCAAAACAAGAAAAGCCCCTACAACAACAATAATATAAATAAAAATGGAACATGAGCTAATTTTAGATCATCGCTGTTTTCCCGGCTGCCACAACCAGCAGCGCTGCACTCTTCTCCCAGAAAACCTGACAGTTCAATTAGCCTTATCTCATACATTGCCAGATCCAGGATCCTCAGAGTATGGAAACAAGGAAGATAACAACAGTGCCCACACCAGCTAAATGAAATCATCCATCATGACTATGCCAAAAGCTCAGCGAGCGCGGCGGTGCTGGTTTCTGCACCGCCCTGCGTCAGCATCCCCCACGGCACAGGCAGGCAGGGGGAAGGGGTCCGCTCCTCCGTGGAACAGGAGGGCTGGAGGGACCATGGTCCTGGGGAGGAAGGGAGACTTACATGTCTGAGAGGAAACTTGCGCAGTCGTAAGCAACAGAGCATAGAGGGACTCACACTGGAGATGAAGCTCCCTTCAGGACTCATAAAATTATACATGTACAGATCAGATTACTCAGATGCATTATCAACCCAGAAACGTAATAATGAAGCTCATCTAAAATAAAATTAACTTTCACAACTAGCCATCAGCAAGAGTCTTGAATCGTCATGGAAATCTAAAGACATTTAAAGTCAGAACAGCAATTACTGCTCCTATTATTGCTCTGTCCATAATCCATCACCAGTGCCATACAAACTAAGAGGATCCAACAAGCTGCAAAATGATGAGTGAAAATACTAGCCTCTAAACCCTGCTCTTTACCGCTATCAATTTATTTTTTTCCTGATACTTCTGGGGACTGCAGGTTTTCATGATTACTGGCTTCAATTCTTGAGTAGCCACTGGGAAAAAAAACACACCACAAGTATTCTACTGCACTCTTCAACTGAGTATGCTCCTGCAGCATGGCCTACCATTACTGCAGCTCTGGGAACTGTTACCATAACCATTACTGTTACTCCTACCACTAATTCTGGCAGAAAACTGTTTTGTGGGTTCAGTTTTGTCTAGCCTGTGCCAGTAGTTCAGGTTGGGGTGGTCCTACAGGTGAAAAGGACTTGGAGAAGAATGGTGATGCTGAGATTCATGTGGACTCAGCAGCTCAGGGCATCCACAGCGTGACTGCCAGGGTCCCCAGACAGCCCTGACCGGGGACACCATGCTCATTTAGATTTGCTAACTCAATAATGCTAATTTAGATTTATAGCTGTGATTAAAGTAATGTGCTTGGATTCAAGTTCATATAAAGAACTATACAAGATTAAAACCAAGTCAGCAAGGTTCATTTATGGTTTGGAAATACTGTTACAAGATGAAACAGAGATGTAAGGAGATGTAGCCTTAAATAACAGCTGGAATGACAAGGTTATGAGAAAGTTACCCACCAGTGGATGTGGGGGTTTTGGATTTTAGGAGAGCTTTTGATATTATCTCTGACAGTATCCTCTGGACAAAATGCCCAGCACGTGGCAAGAGCTGGACACAATGCAACAGGCAAACACTGGGCTAAAGGGTTGGGCATTAAGGGTTGTAGCACATGGGGTGAGATCCTGCCGGTGGCCAGTCACTAGCTATGTCCCCAGGACTCATGTTTAGGTTTAGGGCCAGTCCTGACCAGTATTTCTACCAGTGACCTGGACAGGGAGGTGAGCACACACCACATAACCCTGCCAATGACACTAAATTAGGAGGAGTTCCTCAAGAGTACTTATGGAGAGGTCTTGGTGGATCAGAGCACTGGCAACCACCAGCCCTATCAACTGTAATTGGGGGATTCATCACGTGGGACCTGATCTGTCTGCCAGTATACCTCAGCCCTCCTGCACATCTGCCAGTGGCTGCTGGCACCGATGCTGGACCCCTCAGCAGCCTGACCTGGGGAGGGAGGACTGACCCCATGCCATGAGGACACAACTGTGCCAGCACCCACACAATTAATTGTTTTAAAATCCCACCAGGTCCATCAGCTCTCTCATACTGTGGCTTGGGAAACTGCTGGGCAGGAATGAGGAGGGCAGAGAAAAGCAGGCATGACATTTCTCTTGGACCATGTACAAGCCCTGCATGGGAGATGGTCTCCACATTGAGCTGTCTTAACCAAAGCCAGAGGTGTCTGTGGGCTCCCACTGCTGCCCAGCGTCCAGCTGTTCCTGGTAAATAGTTCCTTACCCACCCTCATCAGGGTTTTTTTTAAGTGTCACGTAAGTTGACAAATCATCTGGTCCAACCTAGACTAGATGTCCCAGCACCCTGTCCGGCTGAATCTTGCAAGTGTCCAACATTGGGGAACCCACCACTTCCCTGGGGAGATTATTCCAGTGGCTGATTTTCTCACTGGGAAAATTTTCCTCTTATGCCCAGTCGGAATGTCCCCAGGAGTAACCTGTACCCATCATCCCTCAGCTTTCCCATGTGACTCCTTGTAAAAGAGGAGTTTCTGTCTTCTTTGTGGCCACCCTTTAAACACTGGAACATGGTGATAAGAAATGTGAGAAAAGCTTAAAAAAGTTGTGTGTTTGCACGAATGCTCACAAGTGCTCCAAGATGTGTATGTTATGCAAAGATGTACTGACATTTGCAGCTGAAGAACAGTACTGGACACTTCAACTGATAGAAACAGCAAAACCACGCATGGATCTCAATGACTGGGCTAATGCTCCAGCCTGTGTGTCCCCACCATGTAGGGACAGGGACAGCCCATCCTCTCGAGGCTGGATGTCACCCCTCACCACAGGGGCAGCAGAAACACTTCACCACCTTGATGAAAGAATGCAGAGTATTTGCCTGTGGGTATGCTTGGTGTAGTAGTCTCATGGCCATGGCCCACAGGTGAGATATTCCAGAAGACAGCAGGAACTACAGGATCTAGTGGCTTGGAACAGCTGCCATAAGAAGACACAACTTCTGAAAGTCAGCCAGGCCATGTGTCCTCTCCCGTCCCAGCACACATTGTCCTGCACACAGATAACTTGCATTGACAGCAGCACTGACATAGCTCACAGCTCACTGTAGAAAACACCTTTTTGACAAAGCAAAGCATTATCTTATTCTCATTACTTAAAAAATAAAAAAGAAAGAAAAAGAAAGAAAAAGAAAGCATCTTATTACCATAAGCCAGATAAAGATATGCTAGTTTTCCTAGGAAGGTGCACATTGCTTTCATTTACTACTTGGTGTCTGCAAAAAGATAGGGATAGTCAAGCTCCTAATGGTGGCATCTGTGATTCACACAAAAAAAGCTCTCGTATACCAATTTTAAATCAATTTTGTTGCTACATTTAATAATTTGAGTTATTCAATCTATCTGTAAAAACTAACTACAAATCACAGTGGGCTGCATGGCTCATTGCCATAGAGATGGGAAAATTGTGTCTCTGAAGAGCAAAGAACCCCATCAGCCCCTGGTGCACACTGCCTTCAGGGCTGGGGCCTGCTGCTCTCTTACCGACCTGAAATGGCTAAGCTAGGGCACTGTCCCCAGACAGCAGTTCCTGTTCCAAAGCAGAGGAAGTGCTTCCCCTTATTCACTTTTCACAGCTACACAGCGGGTCTGACAGCAGTTCAGCAGAGCAGGACTCGTCGTCTTTCCTGTCAGCCCCATTCACACCTCAGCCATGCTCCCAGTGTGGACTTTGCTCTCCAGCTGCCCCAAGTCCCTTTGGATGTAAACCAGCCATCCCAGCATGGAGGAGGTACCTTGAGCTCATCTGGGCCAAAGCCCGTGCAATGCCCAGGGCACTGTGTCTGCGGGTGAGCGGCTGCGTGTGTGCATACCTCAAAGGTACCCCATCAGCAGCGGGGTAGGAAAATAAATGACCACCCACTGGTTCTAGCATCAAATTGGGGTCATGTAAAGGGCTAATGAATTTGAAATTTCTGCCTGGAATTGATCCAAGGGACACAAGAGTGAAATGTCATGATGAACGCCAAGCTGAGATAGCTCCTCTTTCCTGATGTGCTGCTTGCTGGGGGCTTTTTGCCCCGTCTTCTTTGGGAGAAATAGGTTTTCTGATACTTAGTACAGCATTTGCTGCCATGTCCAATGCTACAAAGGGTAGTTTACATATTGTGAAGTACATAACATACGGAAGCAGCAGGATCCAGGCGACAGTAATTAATTAGCAAACGATTTCCATTGCATCCGATCCAGTTCAGATGGTAGGTGCTACATAGAGTCAGTGTGCTGGGTAAACCCAATGCAGCACTCCAGTAGGTGTTCAGAGCCAGCTGCTAATAAAGTGCCTGGCTCAGACATAATCTGTCATCACTGAGGTCATGACAGAAGCTATTGACTGTCTTTCCTAACCCTCCAGGCCTCAGCAGAAGTGGTGATGTTAAGGTCT